CCTTTATAACACACGCTATAAATCACAGTAATTCACACACTTTACTTATGGTGCCTACTGTTCGTTTGACCCAATTATCTGTCTCTTCAATCTATCTGCGTATCTCTCTATCGCTGGCTTTATTTGCCAGGCTTATATACTAAAAAAGAGGGTGCCTGGCAAACACTCGGACGTTCGCAGGGTTCCTCGATAATTCATGATCCTTTTAGAAACTCCAGCACGCATGCTCCCAGCGTCGCGTAACTTCCGCTGTTGTAACAGTATGAACAACTTGTGCAAATAAATAGATAAGGTTTCACTTACTTAATTGTGATGAAATTACTTATGACCAACTTGAAATGTTGTACAATTACCAATTATATATCACTCAAATTACTTTTAACTGAATTGATATCAATTTTATGAAAATCTATATCACAAAATGTTGATAACTTATTTAATATGTATTATGTGGACTGGCAGATTCAAAAAATGTTCTTTGACCTTGTAACAATTAACAGTGCTTTGTTTTGGTGACACAAGTAATGCAGTAATTTATGTATCATCATGCTCATCTTCTTTTTGTTTTTTATTTAAAAATAAAAATATATTTTTTTAGTTTTTATTTTTTCCAGTTATTTGTAAAGAATTACTATAAAGGTATTTATATAGATAAAGATGATTTGTAGCTAATTTCCCAACCTAAAAGAAAAGGTTAAAAGCTCTGTTAATTGTCATCATTAACCTAGCTGGCTGAAAAGAACTTATATTGCTTGAAGTTATAGTTTTCAACTTGTCATGGTATGAGTTTTGTGAGCTACAGTCTAATATTACATCATTTATGAATGCAGAATGTGGATGTAATTGTTTAATTTTCTCACATTATGTATGAATATATTTATGTTTCAAAGTTTCTTTACTACAACCTTAAGCTATGACTTGATTTGTGCCAAGACAAAGATCAAATTTTCTACTTCTTCCTATCCTACAACTCTCCCCATACATACTGCACCTACACTCTGTATTTATCTTAGGCAATATATAGCAATGTGCATAGTTGTAGGATAACAGTCCGACAGTCATAGTTCAAGGTTATATTAGAGGTAAAAATTTATGATAGGCTTATTGTTTTATAACATATAGATTCTTAAATTGATTAAGAAGTTTTTATTGTCACAGCATAGCATCACCTTAGCACAACCACAATATGAAGCTATTACCATTTAAATACAGTTTTATTTATTACCTATATTTTTAGTTCCAGAATTCTGTTTTATTTTCAACATCATCTGTTTTTAATTTAAAGGAAATGGCAGTTCGAGCAGGAGTGGATGTGGCAGAAGGAGATTCTGTAAAGCTGCTAAGTTGGGCTAAACATGGGTTTCGCACAGAATCTCGTAGAACAAACCCATGGGCACCCAGTGTTGGTATGTCACTTTTAGATATTTTCCTAAAAGTTTTTGTTTGTAGAGAATGAAAGTTAATTATGGATGATTTATCAAAATTAATGTTTTATGAAAATAAAAGTGATTCCAGTCTCATCTTTATTGTAACTTAAACTTAGTGCCTCTTTGGGTTATATATGTAACTTTATAATGTACATGTGTTTATAATCCATGTGTTTTCTTCACAAAACTAATTTTAAAAATTCGTCTTTGTTTTATACCAGTATTTACATTTTGTTTAGTTCAGTGGGTTGGAAAATGTTACACAATAATTTTGATGAATAGTTTCACACAAATATTTTTGGGCCAGTGTTTGAAAAAGAGGACCTCTCTTAAAATTATTTTTGCATGTCATTAACGTATGTTGTGATTTATTTTATAATTTTATGAAACTAGTCAGACTTAAGTAGCAAGTATTATCAAATGCATACTTTCTTCAGTAGGATGATATATCTATACATATATACATATTATTCAAGGACAACAAGGTATCTGTTGGTCCATCCAGGCCACCCCATCCAGTAAACTAAACTCTAAAATAAAAATTAAATACTCAAAGCCAGCTCTAATCATTTAAATATGTATCAAGCCTCCTTTAAACTCCCTTAAATTAACTGCATCCACCATATCTGAAGACAAAATATTCCAAAGGCCAACCAACCTGTTAGAAAAATATAGCTTACTTAACTGGAGATGACTCCTATCCTGCCCAAATTTATATTTCTGTTTTCTAGTCTTACCATTCTCCCCATTCAGTATTAAAAAAAAAAAAGATGATGCATCAACACTGTGAATTCCATTAACAATTTTAAACACTTCAATCAAATACCCTCTAACTCTGTACTTGTAGGACAACCTTTCCATCCCAGGTATCATTCTAGTAGCTCTTCTCTGAACCATTTCCAACAATTAAATGTCCTTCCCATATATGGTAAGGAGCCAAAGACTGAACACAATACTCCAAATTTAGCCTAACCAATGACCTACACAATGAAATTATGACTTTTTTAGACGTATATTCAATATTTATGTAGAAACAACCTAAAATACTGTTTGCCCTAGAACACCATGACCCTTTTTTTCCCTAACACTGTTAAGATTAGTCCCATCCAAATTATACTCATATTTCAAATTATGGTATCCCACATGCATTACCTTGCATTTATTATAATTAAAAGCCATTTACCATTTATTTGTCTAACTCACCAAATAATCCAAATCCTTTTGTAAAACAGCAGTATCCTCCTCACAGCCAGCAACACCTAAAACCTTAATATCATGAGTAACTTTAAATGATTTATTGACCATTCCTTCATCTATGTTAATGATGTAAATCAAAAAAAGAGCAAAGGTCCTAACACTGAGCCCTGAGGTATCCCACTTTTAACATTACTCCAGTTTGATTGAACTCCATTTATAACAACATTAGCTACTAAAATTAGTTTTATAAAGGAACACTTTTGTATATATATATTTTATAGAAAATCCAATTCCTGAAAATGTACGTAGACGGCTTGATCGTATCAAGACACAGTACCTGGAAGCTCTCTTGCTTCTTGAATCGCAGACCTCCCTGCAACCACGCTTTTCTCGATTTGCCCAGTTAGAAAATTCAGGTTAGTTATTTCTTACTTACCTATGTTGTAACATTAATTTCAGAATAAATAATAGATAGAGTAAATAATGATTAAATTATTCCCATTAAAAAAGGTTACATTCAGTGAGAAAGTGTCTGTTGCTTTATATTGAATTCTCTTTTGCATAAAGTTTTTTTTTATCAAAGCTTATGATAAGAAATAATCAGTAAAACTAGAAACTTATTTTGGCAAATATCCAGTACGCATATGACATTTCATTTTGCATATCTTCTCCAATATTAGAGAATACCAGCAATATTTCTTGTTGTGAAGTTTCACATTCATGTTTTTTGAGAGCTGAGTGTTTTGAGTATTCTGCAGAACAAGAGCACTCCCACCATAAAGAGTTCACAAAAAAGGTTAATGGTAGTAGAATGACTAAATGAATAATGAAATGAGACAAAACAGATTTTTTTACACATGCATCACATCATGTGTCCATATAAATTACCATATTAAAGCTGTAAACAGAATTGTTCCAATTTACAACTACAACTACATATCATGTAGCAGTTAGGAGCTTTCATACATAAATATAAGATGATAATTATGCTTTACAGCTCTGTTGTTGTAGAAATTACAAATACTCTTTTATTGTAATTGGGTAAAATTTCAACCATGTCTTTATTTATATGTAAACAAGTCTTAATATTATATATATATATATATATATATTATATTTTTTTTGTGGTACTTGGGGAAACTACAGAGGGTTATTTACATATAATAGAATTGCATGTAAGTTATATACATTTTCTATTGAATGTTTGGGTAATTATAAAAATAATCATATTAGATAGATATCAGTCTCCCACATATAAACACTACCCACATTTATCAAACTTTTAAAGAGCTTCCAAAACTTATCGGTGACTGGGAGTTCTTAACTTATGGAAACATTCCTACAGTAAGAGTATAGCCAAAGGGAATATTCATTGTTCTCCAAGTAAGTGGAAAAACTCACACAGCTGTTGTTTAGAGAAGTAATAGGCTCCTATACCACATCCTAAATCTATTACGATTAATGCCTTCATCTGTATAATTAAGGCTGTTATTAAAGAGAAGCCTCCAACCCTTTAAAGCCATTGCTGGGAAGCTGGGTATATCTTCTGGTGCTATTAAAAATATAATAAACAAGAATTTGAAGTTTACTAGTCTCTAGCCACACCTTGAATTCAGTGGCTGCTGTTATGACAAAGATAGTGGACCAAATTTGAGTCAGGGATATCTCATTTAATCACAAACCTAAAAAGATCCCCAGTGTAGCATCAGTGTACTTTTGTTTTTCAATCTGCAAAAGTATGCACTTGGAAGTCATATACATGAAACGTTTTATGGAAAGTTATAAAAGAGGAGGAGATAGGAGGATATTGGCATGGTTTTTTTTTTGTTGTTTCAAGACCTAATTTCAAGGAAATATTGCTACAGGGCCATTGCGATGAAATTGTGAAGGCAAGATGAGTATGATTGCTGGCATATCAAACTTAATTACAATTTCTAAAAAGTATAAATGACTTTAGTTAGAAAGGAAATTAGGACAAAAAAGCAAACTAAGCTTAGATTTTCAAGTGTAGGAAAAACTACATAGATATGTGAAATATAGTGCATATTAGATTTATAAATTTGAATTGAAAAATATCTGACTGTCAAACTATACTTATGTGATCTTACTTACAATTACAGAAATGTTTTGTTTTTATCTTTTTGATGAACTTAAAACAATACATATGTACAAAAAAATGATCCAAAAAAATAATCTGTTCATATTATACATACATGAAAATGTTTTAAGTCTAATATGGATATATCTGCTATTTAAAAAAAGAATATAACATTTTTATATAACTATTCAGAACAACCCTGTGAGAAAACATGAAAAAGTATAGAAAATATGAAAGAAATTGATTCTTATTGATTACCTAATTTTTGAATAATTGTATAAAGGATTTTAATTTACTGGTGAACTTTATATTTGATTTATTATGATATAATATTTGTTTAGTATTTTATAATTTCATGTTTTTGCACAGAACCTTATAGTGTTACTCACTAAAATATATTGTAAACTTTGGTTTTTCAGGAAGTGCTTTGAAAAAAGTTAGGGAAAGAAAACTGTCTATTCAAGGTAAGTTAGCATTAATGCTGTTAAAATTCCATTGTTAACCTTTGGTTTTCCCTTTTAAATAACTACAAGTGGTCTGTTTAGTTTTTGGAAAAACGTTTTTTCTAGCTAAGGTATAATTAATTAAGAATATTAAGAACTATTTGGTCAAAAACTTATTTTAAAATTGCCATAGAAAATGTAAAAATTTTGATTTTATGGTGTAATAATAATGATTAGCAGATAATTGTTTTTTTTACTTTGTTATTTGATTAAGAATGTTGGGTGCTTGAGCCTTTCTGAAGACAAAATGTGCAAAACTCACATTTTATATACTGAAAGTACTAATGGCTCTAAATGATAAGATGATTATTGAAGATTATTAAATTTTATTTTATCCTATCTTTAACAACAGTTGTAATGGATTTAAACTAGATAACCCATCTAGCAATTGTATTGTGTCACCAAGTTAAACCTAAGTGTAATTGTAAAATAGTGATATATCTTCATTTATTTTCATCTTTTAAGTTGCCCAGTCCAAGTTGTTACCAGAAAATTAAAATTAACATTTTAGGTTTCAAATAAAGTATTGTGGTCAAACTTGGAGCTTATGCCTGTCATGGTCTGGTAGTTGAAGCACTCAACTTGCAATCTGCAAGTCATGGGATTGAAACTCATAAATAAAAATGCTCACCCTTTCAATCATGAGATCATTATTATTTGGTGATCAATCCCACTGTTTGTTGGCAAAGAGTATCGCAATAGTTTGCAATGGTTTGTGTTGACTAGCTGCCTTTACCATAGTCTGTCACTACAAAATTAGGAGTGACTAGTGCAAATAGCCCTCAAGTAGCTTTGTACAAAACTCAACAACAACAAACCAAGCAAAGCTTATCAGAAGGTTCTTTAAAAACTGTTCTTGTCTTATTGTGATGTTTCATCATCCTCTGTATTATGTCTGATTTTTCCCAGTCATGACATACTCAGATCCACTGTTGAATATAATGTTCTTCATAAAATAGCTTTATGACAAATGATGTATCTCTTTAATATAGATGTATGTGTTGCTTGTGATTCATCTTCAGAAGATATAGTGACCCAACATCCTCTCATAGAAGGTGGACTGTGTCAACAGTGTAAAGATGATATAATAGAAACTATGTTTGCTTATGGCGATGATGGAACTAATGTAAGATACTAGATTATAAGGTTTAAAATTAACATATTCTTAACTCTTTGTTTTTGTACCTGTAGCAGTTTACTAAGGTTTTTGACTCACTAACTTAAGCCTGTATCATTTTATAATATTTTAGCTCAATGTCATAAGTGTTTGGCTCATGCTATGGATCTGTGTCTTGTAGATTTGTCTCATTTCTTTGTTATTTGTCTTTATGTTGTAGATTTGTATCATGATTTTATTGTGTTTTTGTAAATGCAAACATATTCATTATTTTTAAGATTGCTGTACTAGTATCAGTACAGTAATGTGTTACTTCATTTTGTAGGTCTGTACTGATAATTAATTGTGTGGTTCCATAATGTTTATGTATGTTTTTAATAGTAGTTTATTGTTTACCTTTTAGTTGTAGTTCTATTCTTGACATTATTTTTTAAATTTAATGTTGGTTTTTAAAGTATGTTATAAGATTTTAAATGGCTTAGTGATACAAATCTTGCATTAGTACACTTCTGTTTGGCTGATTTTTGTAAATCTGAACATGAATGGTTTACATGTAATGTGCAATTTTCACAAATGAGTGTATGACAGTATTTAAATCATACTTAGTATGTTATAGATCAAAACATTTCTGATTTAGAATATACTATGATAAAAGACCATTTCTGAAATGTTAAAGATAATTTTGTATATTTGCATTTGAAGATAAAATTCTCTGATATTTCTTATAAAATTATTTTTTTAATTACTTACTAATGTTTTGTCATATATCATTTTGATTATTAAGTTTCCAAAATATGCCATAAAACTGAATATACCACATGCTGAAGTGTCAGACTTCAAATGATAGTGAACAATTTTTGAAATAAATTTGTATGTCATTTTGAAAGTAGTAGCTTCTTACCAGTATAACTTTCCAGAAAAGTTAATAATTAACTTAAATTATCTTAATTTTCTCTTGAAAGTTAAGTATTTCCTAATTCCAATATGGTTTTATTTCTACTTGATCTTCTTTCTGCTCTCTAATCATTGCTGAAAAATGTTTGCTATCAGCGCACCAAACTATATACCACATCAATTTCATACTACTTCTGAACATGTACATATCATGTGATTACTTTCCACCAATAGTACTGTGCCACTTATATTGGTGCAGCCAGCACCTTTTGTTATTCCCGCTCAATCTTCACTTTCTAGATTGGTGCTACATTGTTCAAATGTGTGTTTTTTTTAGTGTGACTACAGTTTCTGATTCAACAGTTTTAATTTTCAGTGTTTGAATTCAATTGTTTCAATGATTTTGCTTTTGATTTTCTTTTCCTTCTCAAATTCTAAGTGTACTTAGTATGAATTTGAGGTTCAAGTGTGTAGGAAAAGGAAATTCCCGTGGCAGTTGACAGTATGACTTCCCAGGACTCTGGTTCGACTTTATCTGTAGAGGAAGTACAGGCCTTAATCCCCATGAGCTAGAGTCATGTGTTTGACTGGCAGTTTCTCCTCCTTTTGTTTCTTTCTTTTTGGAAGAATACCATCATGGGGATGAAAATTGGGACTCTTTTTACGGCACCTTCTTCTTTTGGTCATTCACAATCTACACCTATTCAGGAGATTTCATGTCTCACCCCTTTTTTACAATTTGTTTGTCAAGTATGTAACATTTTGCATGTTTGCCTTATTGCCTATGATGCCTCCCCGTCCTTACTGTGTGATATTCCACTTCTGATTATTATGTTTTGTTCCCTTCACCCGACATATGAATTCATGCTCAGAGATTTTCTGATCAACTTCAGTCAGGTATCAGTATGCCCTATCTCCCCCATTTGTTGGATCAATATACTTTGGCATACCTTCCATTTTGATCCATTTTTGGATTCTCAGCAATTGGATCCTCTACTTCCCCTGTGGGGGTTGAATCTAAGGGTTTTGGTTCATTTTAATCAAGCTTAATTTTCAAGGATTTGCATTTCCCTCTCCTCCCTTTTACACTACCTGTCTTCCCTCCAATTATTGTCTGAGTCCTTTCTTTGCTCCTCTGAAAAATTTTCAGATGAGCTCAGGGCCCTTCTTTGGTCTACTATTGCTCGATTATCAGCCTCTACCTTTTCCTTAAATACCTCGCTTCTGTGTTGTTGAAACTTGTTGGGGAGGATACTTTACTTGTGGTAGGTCCATCTCCCCCATTCATCCCTGCGAGATCTACATCAGGCCCCCTTTCTATGCAACACAGTATTTGGGGGTCGTCCTGATTCCTTGGAATCCAGGATTGATGTGGCTAGATTGCATTCTTCTTTGTCTTCTCTGGCCACACATTTATCTCACCCTACTACTTCTTCTCAGGAGCCTCCTGTCCTTGTTTCCCATTCTCCTCCTTACTCACCCAGACCCTTGCCTTTCCCCTGGTGCTTCTGTCCCTATCTTTAATTTTCCCGCATGACGTCAGTATTACAGGTGACAAGACGGAGGTTCTCGGACTGGTGGGGACCAGGTTGCTCCATCTTTCAGCCATTTGGTGGCATTTTGTGACAGATCTGCGGATTCTACAGGTTCTGTCAGAAGATGTTTGCCTCCCCTTCCCATTGCCCTATTTCCTTCCGTCCTCCTCAGCATTCTTCATCTCTCGATCATCTTACCGAGACCATCCTCTTCATAAAAATAATTTGAAAAATCTTCTTTCCCCTCTGACAAGTTAATATTACAGTGGAGACTTTCTCATTTTAGAAGATTTCTTCTCACTTGCATTGACCAAAGAAAGCATGAGTGAACATTTTGGCTTTGTGAAAAATTTTATGTATTTTTGTGTATTTGATGTGAAAACCATTTACAGTTTCCTTCTCTGTAAACTTACAAAACTCCAGTGTCTGAATGCCTTCTAACTTTTTAACTAGAAACTCTTTGAGACTGACACTCAACGTTTTTATAATTTTTGCTTTATGCTTCTTTCACGGAATCATAGTGTCTTTTATTCCTACAATGGTTAAGAGAGTTTAATTTTTAAAGAACACCAGCATTCAGAAATATTCTTGATGTTCATGTTTTCAAAAGTTATTTTAAGTCTTATGTGGACAATTCTAGTTACCACAATAATTTTTTCACATTTATTATGGCATTGTCTGCACTGATTTTCATGCTCACTTTTCCTGAACTTTTTTAATACATTTTAACTTTTTTGATATTTGCTCTTTTTGTTCTAATAGTTTGTGTTTTTACCTTACAGTTTGTTTATTTCTGACAATTCTCATTAAATCTTTTTAATAAACCTAAATATATTTTCATCATAAATCTAATTTCAAAGAAGTCTCACATTTAATAAAATATTTTTAAGGTGAGTTGTTTCATACAGTGTACTACCCACCATAATTACTCTATATTAGGGTATATCCCTCTTAATGGGTGTTTGAAATCTAGTATATAAAAACAGTCCTGTAAAAGCCACGCAATTAAAATTGATTCATTTGTATCATTGCAGTTTCCAACTTCATAGTCCTATGATTAATATAAACATATTAAACGTTAAGAAGGTTTAGCAACGTTTTTATTGAATTCACACTGTTGACTAACAGTACTAAAGATAATAGTGAGCTTTTTAAATATGTCTTTAAATTTTTTACAGACAAATATCAGAAGATTGTGTAACCAACAATAAAAATTAAATGACTTTGTGTAATGTGTCTGTGTGTCGCCTCTAATACATGTTCTTTGCAACATACTTTCTCAATACACTAGTATCATATAATCTTGGGTTATCAATATTTGATCAAGTTTAGTATAAGTATCTTCAGTAATTTTTATAATGTCAACATACATATATAATTGCCTAAGCTTTGTATATCATTGGAAGTCTTAAAAACTGAACTATAATTAAAGGTTTATTTCCACGTAATCTTTATACCTTTTATACATGCATGAACGATTCCCATAATTTGGTCCAAATGGAATACTTTCAGTGTTTAAAAACTGGATAGCTTGAACTAATTGGTGCAGGATTGATGTATAATGTGCATTGCTATATGATTAAATATTGGAAATCTGTATCAAGATAATGCTGTTTGTCCTGTTTTATTGATCATACTTATGCATATGAAGAAGTGTTTACCACTCATATGTTTGTTTTATATTATCAGAGCTTAGTTTACATATTTTATTACACCCAGCTAATTTAATATACTTTTATTGATTAGGCCTTAGGAAAATGTTCATGCATCTTTTCCCATGGACAGCTAAAACTTTCTATTAAAGACAAATTTTCAACCAATAGTTGATTAAGAAATTTGATACTACATTTAAATCTTTGAAATTTTTGGTATTTCCTTTCACTTCTATAATTTGTGTGCAATAGAATGTTCTGACATGTATAATTATAATACTTTTTTTTTTCAAGGCATATTGTGTTATTTGTGGGCAAGCAGGAGAGCTAATTATCTGTGATAACACCGACTGTAACAAGTAAGCTGTTTTTATGTTGATAGGAATATACTGAAGATATTATTAGAATATTTAATGTATAAATTACAACAATAATATTATTGTAGAATTTCTCTAGCCTTATATTCATATGTAAATTAATTGTTATACATGTGGCACTTTAATAAATAAATGCCAAAATATTTTTTGGTGGCTATATTAGCAATTATTAACAAATTATTGTCTTTTTTTGTAATAAAAGTTAATTTATAAGATGTTTCCTTTAATTCAGTAAACTTACTTTAAGAAGCAGCATTTAACATAGTATTTCATTATGATTCTATACTTCATCAGATATATTAGTGTTTTGGTTTAAATCTAACTTTTCTTCTGTATTTATGTATTCTTTCTTAGGTGTTACTGTACTGGCTGTATTGATGTTCTGATTTCTCCTGGAACCCATAAAAAGGTAAAACCATCAGTATTATAAGATTAAACTGTACATGCAAAGACTTTGTCAATTCTAAAAGCATTGCACTTAGAGTTTCTATAAATATGTTGAATGACATGAATATACATGATTAGGTATTAGAACTCAAAAGTATGACATTAAAGTGGTTTATTTACACTGTACTTTCCATAGCTATGTCTCGATTGATGAAGATTGTTGCCATCTTTTGGCAACATATAAACACTTTCACAATGACATCCCTGATGTCGCATGAGGCTGTTTGTTTTATTTTACTTTGAGAGTGTTCTGTTGTGATGATGTAAACTTTTAATTTGTTTCGTACTTTATTTTTTAATAGCATGAGGCTGTTATATTCTGTAATGTAATCAGTCATACATTTGTTTGAGTTTCTTATTTCCTTTGTTCGAGTCTGATTCACTTGAGTGCACAAACTCACTAATGCACTTGCATGATTACACACTGTTCTGTACACAGCTGTGTTTGCCATTATTATTTTGTTTACAATGTATCGATTCAAAGTTAGCACTTGTGTTAACCCTACCTCTGTTTCATTGTAAGGATACATTATTTCCACTTTCAAAAGTATGGAACAATCTTTTAAATACTTTATGTACTTTGTGATGCCCAAATTATTAGGGGACCTACATTAATTCTAGCTACTCTCTAAACATGCACCATCGATCCAACAAGCAGTGTTGTTTTCCTTATTGTACACTTTATCATCATTGTGGATTATCCATGGATCCCTGTTAGTTTTTATACCAAAAAAGAAATTACCACATTGTTTTTAACTACAGCAAATGTTTGTGATAACTTTTAATAATTGTTTATCTTTTGGTCAATTGAAGCATAATAAAACCATTATTAGCAGCAGTTGTAACACGGAAAATATACTTATGCATTTATAGTGAATTGTTTTAATAAGTGATATAAAAGTTACAGATATAGTAGTGTTATTGTTAAGTATTATTGTGATGTGTAAATTTTAACCTTTTAACTTAGATGCTTTTGAAGCAAAGACACTGGACTTAATTAAATTAGCATGTAACACAAAACCTTCACTGGAAAAGACTTTCCAGTGATTAATAATTCCAGTTTTTTGGTATTATTAACTGATAAGAATGTTGATAAAAAGTATCTTTAACCATCTGTATATAGACTAAATTCTAGTTGAAGGAAGCATTGGGAAATTAAACAGTTAAAAGTTGGCATTTCAGTATATGGTAAATCTGATAGTTGGTGTAACTGTGGTATAGATGTCCACCAAGGAATGGATTATTGGTAATGTAAGTATATTTATAATATTTGTTGTTTTGTCTTGGGAATAACTCTAGAACATATTAGTTTATCAGTTCTCTTTCTGTTCCACAGATGTGTTGATGAAATTTATCAATGAATCAGTAAAAGTATGGTTCAGCAAAAGTTTATCAAAACATAAAGATACATAATAGCAATTATATTTCATCACAGGTCCTAGCTGCTGATCCATGGTTCTGCTTTATCTGTACTGAGTATGATCCAGAAAGAAATGGTCTTATTCAACCAAAGTTAGACTGGCAACAGAATGTTTTAAAATTGTTTCAGCCAGAAAAAAGCATTCAGTTATCCCCATCTTCAGATGACTACAGAGAAAAAAAACCAATTAGAGTTTTATCTCTGTTTGATGGAATTGGAACTGGTAGGGGGAACAATAGCATTTTTGTATTTGTTTGGTGAGATTCTTAGTAATATATCAAACTGTAATATTTTTTTCAGTATTTTCTTTTTTTAATAAAAAATAAATGAATTCTAAATATATCATGTATTTTTGATTCATTAATTCTTCAGCTCTTTTATTTTGAGAAGGAATTAGTTACATAAATGTAAAGACTTTAATATTTGTTTTCAGGGCTGTATTTTACTCTGTTATCACCATTCCGATTTTTATAACCTACATGCTTAGCTTTATTACAACTGGACTTTTTTACCCTTTCTAATAATTTTTTAACTTAGAATGCATGTTTCACCCCCATAATAAAACTTATGATAATTAACAGGATATTTGTTGACTGTTATATGTAAAGCTGTTGTAATATCCTAGTATAATCTTTATATTAGTGAGCAAATATCTAAGCAAATATTGCTGTTATATTCCCAAAGGAAGATATGTGTTAGATCAACTGGGAATTGAAGTAGAAGCTTATTATGCAAGTGAAATGGATCATGATGCAATTAACATTTCAATTGTGCAGCACAAATGTAATGTTACTCATTTGGGCCAAATTGAGGAAATTTCTGATGCTGAGGTAGGTAACAGTGTGCAGTCTTTTCCATAATTAAGTTTATGTCTCATATACCTGTATAATTTTAAAAGTTATTCTTTTAAGTATTTGAAAATTGTGATTTTGATGTATCTCTTTTTACTATGTACCTGAAGTAAAAATCCTATTACTTAGGCTAAAAGGACTGTTTATTTTAGTCTGTTTCATCACCAATACAAAGACATACAAAATTATGTTTGCTTCTAATATGCTATTGTGGTCACATGGCAATACCTTATATTCCACTCAGAATATAGCCAAGTTCATGAGAGCCTTTTTTTAGTAATGCAGTAAAACATTCTTTATAAAAATATAGTTATACATTTCATCATCACTTTTCAGATCTATAATTATGATATAATTAATACAAATACAAAGAAATGATATTCATTATTTAATTATCTTTACAAAAAGAGCTGTTCATAATTCATATTAAACATTTTCATTATTATAATACATTAAACAGCTGGGAAATATATTTATTTAGCACAAGTAATGTGTTGTTATTTTTTATTCAATAAGTGTGTAGGTCGTAACTGCAAATGTAAGATGCAAATTTGTTGTATACTTGTGATCTATTTAGCCATATCTTGAATGTCAGTTAAATATTTAAAAATGTATTTCTTTTTCCTTTATATTTATTTTGATCCTTATGAAATATTACTATAGGTAGCCAAGCTTTGTCCTGTAGATCTTGTGATTGGTGGGTCACCATGCATTGACCCCTCATTGGTTAGTTCTGGAAGAAAAGGCTTGTATGGTATGTTAATAAATCATAATTTTAGTGTTCAGGTCTAAAAGTACACCAGAGATAAAGTTGGACAAACTTATTGACTCTGTAGTTAAATAATTTCTTTTTATTTCAAAACATTGCTAGTTTTGTATGAGGTATGGATAAAATGAAGTTTTAGAAAATGGAGAGGGTGTGTTTAATTAGTTTAATTCTACTTTCAGGACCTCCTTGTTATTTTTGTTTAACATGTTCACTGCTGAGGATGCATGTTTGGCAGTCATTCACTTGTGCTAATGATACACTTGTGCATCATAAAAAAAAAAAATGTAAAGATTACATGTTTTAGATTTGTTATTATTGCTATTGTTTAAATTTAAAATACAAAGATATTGCCCTAAAACTCTTCTCAGCATTTGCCATATATGATGCCAAGTATCTCAGCACCTAACATCTTAATTGCTATGCTGTTGCAGAGTAAAATTTCAGTTTTTCAATAGTTTTTATTATTCAGAATATCTGTTCTCAACTCCAAGATTTATAAAGTATATATAAATATAACTTCAGATTTAGTGAGAGGTAATTTTTTGATTGTCTTACTTGATCTATTTATGGATTATTAGAGTAAATAATTTGAACTTCAATGACTTGCATTGTCAGCTCATCTATTAAAGTAACAATTAATAAACAATGAAATCAGTTACATGCACTTTATTCTTGATTGCAGTTGTTTTTTATGTTATGTTTAGATCTCCCGAGGCTTTTAATGAAAAAGACATCCAGGATCATTCTTAGTTCTTCATTACTGCTGCTCTTATGTTTTTCATATACTGCCAAACTTGTTGTGAATTTGACCCCATTATGCATTACACAGTTTATTTTGTTATGAAGAAGTGTTCTGCACACAACTGTTTCAACTACATATATTCCACTCTAGTTTAAGCTTTTTGTTTACAGATGCAACTGGAACAGGGAGATTGTTTTTTGATTTTTTTCGACTATTAAAGGCAGTACAGTTGGCAAACAAGGAACGCCATGTTTTCTGGCTTTATGAAAATGTAACATCCATTCCACAAGAATACAAATCTATCATTACACGATTCCTTCAAGTAAGTAACTTAAGAAGGTATTACTTTTTTTTTGTAATTATTTGTTTAATAAGTATCTTCAATTATAAAAGTAGTTTTATAACACTGTAGCCTTACTATAAACATTATTGTGTTATTGTTTTGCTATTCATGGTTAAAAATCATTATAAAGTACAGTCAGTATTTTTCAGTGAAGACTATTGGAAGAAGAATTAAATGACTGGCGTTTTTTATAGTGCCATGTATTAAAAGATTTAAAACATAAGTTGTGATATAATTAATACAACAGTGAACTGTGTTGTAAACAAATTACATGGTAAAAATTGTATTGAACTGTCCAAATTACGAATTTCAGCACCATTGATAAGGTGGAATTTTTATACATATAATTTGTGTGTTAATACTAGATAGTGCCACAAATACAACCTTCACTATACCCTTAGTCCCCTTTGTTTGTTAGATAGAAGATTATAATAATCTTAATTAAACTATGTGGTAAAAAATGAATTCTTATTATTGACTTGCTCTTATTTTAAAGGTAAGAAAATACACAAGTATTTACCATACAAAGAGTAGTCAAATAGATTGGTAACCTTGGTTTAGCGTTACAATAATGAGTGAATAATAAGTACTTGAAGCAGGTTTTACTGATAGGTGTTTATTTTGATGTTTGAACAGTGTGAACCAGCCCTAATTGACTCAAAGTATTTTTCGCCTCAGAATCAGGCTCGATACTTTTGGGGAAATATTCCAGGAATGTATGCGTAAGTTATTTTATGCATTACTTTTTTACCAGTACTTTGTGATTCAAGACTTCCTCTTTGTTACTTCTCCAGAGCTTGAAATTTCTCTTACAGAATCAGTTATTCTAACTGAAAGAGTCATGGAGTAACAAGTTTTTCATAGTGATATGCAAAGCAGATTTAACTTGTTGTATCCCTTAGTAATCAATCATGAATATGTTTGCTGCTTACTGTTATTTATAATATATCAAAGAAAATAGATTATTTTTAGGCATAACAAGAAATAACTTCAGATATATTTTTTGCGCATTTGCATTTTGTTCTTAAATAGATTAAAACAATAATAATATTTTGATATTTTCATATGTGAATGATTTTTCAAGAGTAAATGATACCTTATTAATTCTGCTGAATGTTTTATTTGAATATTTACATGAATATAATTTTTTAACGTTGTGGATGAATAATATCCTGTTTTAGGTTGTTTTATTTTGCATCAACATGATGAAAATATCACACAAATAAAGTAGTTAATACTTACAGTTGTACATTGCTTTGAACTGTAATGTGATGATCATTTGTAAGCCAAACATGAGCCTGATTTTGCTATTTTGTGCTGAGTTTTATGTTTTTGTTCCTTGAATTTTCTACTTTTTTCATATATACTTGTTTATTTATTTGGTATTTATTTTCATTTCATTTGACTGTTGTGTTGATCACATGCCTCCCTCCCAAACAGAGTAGAGGAATATTGGAGTGGAGGCGAAGTTGACAAGTAAGTCAGTTACTTGCACACCACTTCATTTCAGTTTTTTTGTTATGTGTGTAAGTTTGATTTATTTGACTTGAAATTAGTTCATTATTTTTGTCACAAATATTAACAGCACCATTTAGCAATTCCTAAAGGCTAACATGATTGACTTATGTAAGAAGAAAAACTAAATTCATTTTAGCTAAGTTTTCTAATCAGGTGACTTCTAATTTTTATTGTTTAGTTTACAAACACATTCATCAATGAGTAAGTTTCGATGAATATAGAACTGAAAATCTGTATAGCTTTATTTAATTGTGTTGTTAAATATACCTAATTTAGCCTAGAAATTTGCTTTAAAAAATTCTTTTGACATTCTTGGGATGATTAGAGAGAAAGCCAGATTTTTTCAACACCTCATTCACAGTGTTAATTTTTTTAAGTGTGTCATAGAAGATGATCTAACAGTAATAATCCTGCTATAGCTCTAAATAACAAAAGTTGTATCTTAAGTCATCTAAGTAAGAAGCAATAATAGTGGACAATTATTCATGCCTATATATAAAGGTTTCAACCAGAAGAGATTATGTTGTAAAATATTGATACACTCATAACTTAGTTAACGATTTTTGAATTATACTTTAAGATAAAAAGCCCATTCATAAAAACAAATAACTAGTTGTTTTTGTTTTACATACAATTGTCATAATTTTTTTAATGATCATTTTATGGTTGCAGTTAGTTTAATGATATCATAATTAGCAAATTACCTAATTTAGGTTGATATATATAAATTTCAGTAGTGTTGTGGTAATATGAGGAAAAGTACAATTTCTCGTCACATAATTTATTTTGTTCATTTTTAGTCCTCTTCAGCCACATTTCCACATGCTACGTCAAGCAGTTAAACTAAATAGCTCCTTGTCATCTAACCTGAACCAAGAAGTAAGTTCTTTTTTTTTTTAATTATAATAAATAATTAAAAACAACATTTTATATTTACACAATAAAAACTTTATTGAAGCCATACGTATAATTTAAAAACAATTTTAAACACAAGTGCCGGTAGTGCATATTTATAAAAGTAAGTTCTTTGTTTTAATAATGTCTGTTATCGAGCTACAATAAAAATACATCCTGATTCACGTTTGTAGTCAAATAGAAAGTGCTTTTATTTTTGTAGTGTGTTGTTTAGAACCTATGGGAAGCCCTAAACCACAAGGTGAAAAATAAAAAATTATGGGGTTTTCTCATACTTAGGAGAAACTAACTCATAAGTACAAGATAATGAGTCTTACTTACAAGAAAATGACTTGCACAAATGATAATAAAGTATCTCATGTGAACAATGTATTATCTTGTACGTATGATATATTATCTTGTATGTACGAGTTACTATCTTGTGTGTATAACTTATTTTCTTGTACGTATGAGATAGCCCCATTACTTTTATGATTTTTCACCTTGCAATTAAGGGCTTCTGTAAGAACCATATATTATTGATGTTAGGTAAAGTGTTCTCCTTCAAGCTGATATGCCAGCTGCCAGTTGACGATTAATCAAGATCAAATATATATGAGTTTGTTTTTATATAATTAGATATATGCCTGTTCATTTACAGAAAACTACTTGATATTTATTTGGTAAAAAGCAAAAGAGCGAGTATTTTTAGATCTTTTGTGAGACAAACGGACAGCAAACCAAAAAAAAAGAATTAAAATTTAGCTTACAGATATGTAACTCAAGTTAACACAAACAATAGTTTTTGTAAAAAGTGTATAAGTGGTAATAGGATTTCCTAACGTGTTTCTTCTGATGTTTTTATATATGTAATATATTTTAACATAATGTTACAACAACGGAAGTCACGTGATGCTGCTGGCGCATGCGTGATTGAGTTTCTCGAATTATCAGGGAACTCGTTGAATGTTGGAGACGCCTCTTTGTTAGTATATAAGTCTGGCAGAGAAAAGCCAGGGTATGATGAAGGTATGATAAAGCAAACAGTAGTCACGGAGAGTTTCGGGTAATTTACGATTCTGTTTCGAGCTAGTGTGTGTTTTGCACTCGTAGAGAGCGAAGTTATCGAGATTGTGAATCGCGGTGATTTATAGCGTGTATTATAAAAGTCGTTGAGTTGAAAGTGACGAGAAATGTACTGACTGTGGAATTACTGTGTACTAAAAGTTTGTATGGAGAAAGAGTAAACTGGTTTAATCAAGAAAGGACTTGTATCGCTGAGGTTCCTCGGAAAGAATTCTACCGTAAATTAACAAACAAGCAATAACATAATATTTTGGGACAACATGGGACCTATTGATCTATCTTGGCTGTTCCATCCTCAAAACTAAATTAAAATGATTAAAAAAAATAAAATAAAATAATTTTAAACCCAGTCCTTTTCATTCATTTACTTATCAAGCTTTTTCTTAAACTCATTTAAATTTACTGCCTCTACAACATTTGAAGGCAACCCATTCCAAAGGCCAACCACTCTATTAGAAAAATAAAACTGTCTTAGCTGAAGATGACTCCTACTTTGCCAAAATTTGTATTTGTGTCCCCTAGTCCTAATATTCTC